CGCTTGCTTTGCGTTACCGGGACAGCAAAATGGGAAGTTGAACGTCTGTTCTCCACCGCGCAACGCAATACAATTTCGATTTCTGCAAGCATCTAAGCGCGACCGCATCTCACACAATGGGTGTGTCGATTTAAAAGGGAGGAGAGATGCAATCGGTCAAAGCGAGATGAAACAAAGGTCTTGAGCCTGGACTTGAACAGGGGAGTCCAACAGCACAGGCTTGTGTATGTATGTACGCTGAACATCTTTTGCACCATACACAGCCAATCCTGCTAATGGGAGGCGCGGGGTGGGGTAGGATGGCTGGGGTAAGGGAGTTCCAACCATTGTGCACAATAACAGCCACAAGTATTTAAACTATTTTAGGTTGCAGGCCTGAATAACATCGACATGTGCTCATTATTTTTTTGGGTAACAAATTATACAAATGTCGTGGTGTACAAAAATTGTAACCAAGCGACAAGGAAAAGGGGATGGTGGACCATGCAGTGGTGGAGCCAGCCTGGGACACTCACCACAAAGAATGCAGTACAGCAAGTAGATGTTTGACCTACATTGTGCATGATTTAGCTGCTTTAGCCTCAAATGTGGTTGTGGTTTATTCCAAAAAAAAATCATTCGTAGGACAAAAATTCCGAAAGCAGCATCCTCCTGAAAATGTGCCTTGAGACTCGGTGACAAGAAAACAACGATAATAATTATCACTGTTATATACCAATTTAAATCTGTTAATTGGATTTGCATAATGAGCCCTCTCCATTGATAGTTCCCTCCCTGCTGCGTCGTGAGCAGCCCTACTGTCTGGTCCATGGCAGCCGTGTGTCCTGCACCGCCGCTGTTTGGTAGAAAACGGTGCACACAAAAAGACAAAGATCCCCCCCGTATAGCCTCAACAGACTGTCGAGGCAAGTGCTGTTCACGAGCACCTATGAAGGCCGGCACAACACACAATGGGGTGGGTGGCCAGCACCACCCCCGGCCGCCTTTGCCTCCCCAGTGGTGCTGTTTACACACCGCACCAGGTACTCATTTAAAGTTAAGTCGACCTAGGGGAGGCCCAGGACCATGAGCGGGAATCGAACTCGGGTAGCCAGGTTCGTAGCGCAGCGCGTTAAACGCTACACTACCGCTCTCCACGCACACACACACACGTACACAGCGAAGAGGGCATTGCACCATCTCAGGTTTTAGCGCCACGTTTTAACGCTTCAGTGTTACGAGCATTTATACAACGTCCGTGCAGAGGTGCCTACTGTCAGAAGCAATTTTTTTTTTACTATTTTTTTTAGTTTTACCAGGTAAGGCGCACTAAGCTATACCGTTCTTTTTCAGAAGCGATCCGGCCATAAACGATAGCTCAACGAAATGTCTCATCACATGCAAATTTACAGCAGCCAAATACTCTATTAAACGCATGTTGATTCTAAACATTGAGGGGAAAAAGCAGAGGGGACCCAGTGAAAAATCCACATGGCCACAGGGAGAGAGAACAGCATACAGGCACGCCAGGGTCGGGATCGAACCCACGACCTCCTGTACACCAGGCAAGGGCGTTAACGTCTCGCCGCCGGTGTAAACCCTGACGATCATCGGGCAGAGACCACACGCGGCACGCACGGCGGATGTGACCGGCAAGCGAAATGAGGAGGCGCGGCGAGAGTGGTTGCGGCGTCACGTTTTCTCTGCCGGCGACCGCCCGGCCGTGCCATGGGCAAAAACCGCTTCCCCCGCCGTTTCGCGGTGGCCTCAATCCCAGCAGCGTGGCGATCGTGGGATTAAAGCCCAGGCAACCGTGCAGTTCCGTTCGGAGAAGAAAATCAGGGCACATGAATAATTAAGCGTATAGCGCGCAAAATCTGTTTGCCACCTCCGTTATATAAATGGATTTCTCTGGGGGGGGGGGGGGGGAAAACTGAAATCCGTGCAAAGCAGTTGTCATGGTTGCATCCGATGGCTGCAGTTTGTTTAGCGTAAATGAGTGTTTGTAGAACGGACTATCGCTTTTTCTACCCGGGGTTTGGGATTTTATTTAACGCATGTCTAGATTGCATTTTTGCACAAGTACCGCCAACCTGTTACCAAAAACCGGGTGGTGCCTATTCAGAATGTGCCAACAGTCCCATTTCGCTCTCGTTCATGAATTAGGGAACAGACACTCTCTGAGTACAGCATTTTGCAAAGAGGAATCTGCAAGGACGACCACTGCCACTCAAGATAATTAATAAGCTGAGCTTATTTACGATCCCCTTAACACTTATCTATTCAGTTAACTGCATCCACCACTGATGGCTTCAGAGCACCAGCCGAGAAAAACCCTGATATTAGGACAACACTATTTCATCTCTGACCGGAGACACACATGGCGGGATACACTTTATAACTCATAGGATAAGCGTGTACAAGACACAAAACATTGTCCATTAGGCTATTGTCTCTTGAAAGACAGCAACGGGTAAACTCAAGGAGAGCTATAGGCTACGTCCGGGCAAGCAATGCCCTGCTCTTGTGAATTATGGTACAGCGGCACTGAAGTCCACTGTCCAGCAGAACACCTCAATTACTTTATTCCGCTGCAGAATTTAATAAAACAATAACTTACAGCCGGGTGTCAATCCGGCTGCTGCTGGATGAAGGCCTCCCCCAAAACCATGCCGGTCATTGAGGGGGGTGATTCACCATACTTCACCACGTTTGTCAGTATGGGTTCGCGTAGAAGGGTCAGATATCACATGCCACCGACGTTAGCCGTGGCGTGGAATTGAACTCAAGTTGCCAGTTTCACAGCAGAAGGGGGAGAGAACCGCTCTATCCCTGCAGAGATGACCAGGTGATGACTGCAATCAAAGCTTGGGCCAAGTCAAAATGGCTCAACAAGCTAGTACTGCCTCACCTGAACCTGCAGCCTGACTCAAAAAGGTAAATATCTAAATGTAATGGGTGGGGGGGGAGTTAATTACACGTGAAGGTAAGCTTCGTATTCCCCACACAGTACGGTAAAACATTTACGCCCGATGGCACGCACGCTCTCTGCTCGGCCTAATACGCAGCGAATGCCCATCGTCTGCCATGTCCACGTTTTTATCTCCGTTTTATGGCTGCCGTGGCCCAAGTAGCATCGCGGATCTCCGCCGTGCAAAATAACCAGGCGACCGGCCGAACGTGTGGCAGATAAAATAAACTTAAACCGAGTACGCAGTTCCATTTCTGCTGCTGTCAAGAGTGTTTAATAGCTGCGCACCCCCCACCCTCCTCCCCCACAATGCTGGGCAGCGTGTACGATACACGCCCAGCAAACATCAATCACCAGAAAGGTGAACAACGATGCACAAACACCAAATAAGATTAAGTCAAAACAACAATAATAATGGCAAAGCGGGTGATATTAAGCAAAAGGCGATCAGATATAATTTTGCAATGGCCAGCGAATCTCAAGAGGACGCCACTTATTGTCAATGCTGATTCATCGCGGTGAGCTCCACGCCCTGACCAGTTGGGAGAGACAACTGTTTGTACCTGAGCATTTATTAGCAGCAAATCCTTCTCGAATCCATCATTTACATCTGAAAAAAGAAAATCACACACTGGGAGTTCAAATAGTCACAACAGAAAGGTCAGCGAGCTTTCCCAGTGCCACCAGTGAAGGCCGTGGCATTCACCTTTGCCAGGTCCAGCAAAACGTGTCTCTAAAAGCCCCCTGGCCACCAGCAGGCAGAAGCTTGCGTCAAGTTCTTAAACGGACGACAAATTACAAGTCAATGCCCGCTGGCAGCCGCCTTTAATTGTGTTCAAATTGCAGCTTTGTAGATGCAAATTTTTGGGGGGAGTTCCCCCCCCCCCCCCACTTCGGGACAACGCGATGCGTTGTCAGCGATGATGCGTTGTCAATTCAAGAAAAAGCGCGCGTTAAATTGACGGTGCGGCGGCGTTACCACTGCTCCTCCAAAATAATAAAAACGCCCACAGCTTTTACTGCAATTAGAATACGTTGTCATGATGGGGGAGTTCAATGCGGGGGTTGGGGGTGCTAGCTAAACGTTTATAACATCGTTGGCACATTCTCCGGCATTGCTTTACCTGTCAATGCAATGGTAGAGATGCCGTCAAGCTGTTTTATAAACTGCGCGTGGCTGTCGCTTTCCCTTCACGTCGCAAATTACGTTCGAATCCCGTGGCCTTAACACCCAGCGGAATTCAGAAGCGCACTCCCGTGTAGTTGACACATTAAGGCCCCTTTTACATCTGACGGACTACTTGTTCTGTTTGCAAGCACCTATAAAGGATCGCAAAGCACATAGGGGACCGAGGAGGCGGGGCAGTGTCAGGCAAGTTCCGCATGCAATCACTTTGTCTCTCCAGTGCTGATGGTAATCACACTGCACAGGGTAATAATTTTAGGCTGAGCTCAAGGGACATCAATTGTCGCCGACGCTGTATTCACCATGGTACAACTGTAATGCAGCGTGGTAGCCAACATTTCACCGTGTACACACACAGACCACACGCGCGCGTATACAGGTGTACTTAGGAATTCAAAACGAAACGTTCGTCTTCAGCAGACGACACTTATACACCAAGCGGAAACGAAAAAAATTAATCCATTTTACGCTCCACTTACAGACTGCGATGGAACACAACACCAGTTAAATCTTCTGCGCAGCAGTGACAGGCGTTACCGTAAGCAAGAATACGGCTCGCACGCGATGGCACAGGGCAGTGCTTGCGGCTTACGCACGGCACGACCGTCCACGTGTGTGTGTGTGTGCACGCACGTGCGTAGCTGGATATTGTTTCCTCCCCAACCCCACAAAACCCTTCACACATTCTAACGCAATGTACTCAACATGCACCTGGTCGCCAGCAAAGCAAGGCAGACGCGGCCTCGCCATTCCCTGCAGCTCTCTCGTCTCACATCGCCTCTCTCTCACCTCTCCCATCGTCTCCCGCCAAGGCCATTAACGACGACACCACCACCACCACCACCAGCGACCCCGACGGCTTACCTTCAGTGACATAGTTGTGGTTGCGAAGGAAAGTGCCGTTGATCTTCCTGCAGTCGATATCCTCTTCCATTGACGCAGAGACTGGGCGTCAGCATAACACGTCGCCGGTGTTATGTTGTCGGCGTTATGTTGTTGTTACGTTGCGGTCAGTGCGTGAGCGTGACGAACGTGGCTCTCGGCTCAGGCCCGGCCAGCCCACATCCATGCTCCCGCAGAAACCAGCTGGGTACAGGGGGCCCCCCGCGATGGAGGCGCGGCGCGGCGCGGCGCTCCTTCCCGCAGATTAAAACGCAGGAGCAATAATGACAGCAATTGCCAATAATCAAGGCAGGCAGCGAGCGGGCGGGCGGGCGTGCGGGCGGACAGACTGACGGACGGATGGATGGGGGTGACTGCCGACCAGAGTCGGGTGCCCCCCCTTTGCAGAGCCACACCTTGCCGGAACGAGCCGCGTTCCGTGCCAGGAGAAGCGCAGACGAAACGAAGAGAGGGGCGGAATGGAAGGAGGTAGAATGAGAAACAGAAAACGCGGAGGAAGACGGCTTGAGAAAACACCTCGTCACTTGGCCCTCTGCGGCAGCGCAACTACGGGGGGGACGGGGGGAGAGACCCCTTTGGGAAACCTTTGGCTGAAAAATCTTGGTCCTCAGTGCAGACGCAGACAGAGACGCGAGGTATCCGCCCCCGGGCAGCTGGACATCAACGGACGCAGCAGCGGCAAAGGCAGAAGCAGCTCGGTGCTGCGTAATATCCCAGCAGCGTCACTTTCCTCCAAAGCGTTCACCATTCCGGGCCCATGTAAAGTGCTGGCGCTGGCGACGTCGGTGGCGGCGGCGGCGGCAGCAGCAGCAGCAGCAGCAACGACAGAGATGGCCTGTGGCAATTCGACAGCCGGCCTTGGCTCTTGACGGCTTCGACACCGCCACGCCGGACGTGCGAGAGGAGAGGGAGGGAGGGGCATGCGGCCTCTCTCTCTCGCTCTACGCGCTGAAAGCTCGGCTCATCCGCGAAAATAGGTGGAGGGAGGGGGGGGGTGTTAGGTAACCCGGGTGACCGGCGGGGATGAGAGGGGGAAGCTTTTAACACCGCGAAAATAATTAAAGACGAAAAAAATTTTTCCCCCGACTACATATATTACAAAAAAAAAAACTAAATCTTTTCAAATTGGCTAAAAGCTCGTGGAAAATTCAGACACACCATGACCAAGACTGCCAAGACGCCGTGGGTCGGATGGAAAAAAAACCGCACGACCGTTTTTAAATGCAACGCACACGCGCGTAAACACGCTCGCTCTGTCGCCCGCTCGCTCTCCCGCACGCACGCAGAGCGATGCAACGCTTGTAGGGCGCCGCGCTGCGCTATTATGGTGCCGACGCCGTCTCGGAGCGAGCGAGCGGACTGCGCAGTCTGACGCACACGCCGCATAAAAAAAAGAAGGCATAAACGTGGGGTGGGAGGTATCCACTCTGCCAGAGCCAATGGAGAGCGAGAGCGTCATCTATCGGGGAGAGAGCGCTCCGTAGATCAATGCAGGGAGAGGGGGGAGGCACGGTCCGGGGGCTGAGGCTGGGCGGGCGGACAGTGGAAGGATCAAGCGGAACGTCGGGGCGACGCACAGGCCACCATCCAGGCTCGCCAGCGCGCTGCCATTCACTCGCGCGGCGTGGCCCGTGGCACCCTCCCCCCCCTGCACCCCCCCCTGCACACCCCCCCCTGCACCCCCCCCCCGCACACCCCACACCCCCCCCCCACCACCCCTGCCACCCCCCCCTCTATTCAGCACTGGGTGGCCATAAAACAGGAGTCATTTACATATAGATTAAGTGCTGTATACATATCGGCACTGTGGTATCACATAATTACCAATTACATATACACACACACACACACGTCAGGCTGTGGGTTTTGTTTAGTAGTTTTAAAGGTGTCATCAAAAATATTTCATAGCAAAGTTATTTATAGCACCGGCATGGCAATTATTTTGCAAACGACACATTATTGAGGTTAAACAGCAAGCTTAAGAGGGGCCGGTCCATTTAGTGAGCAGCCACTTAGTATTGTGCCGCCGTTAGATCCCACATTGAATCGCATTATACTGCATGGCGTAACGAATATCAGAGCCTCCGCACTTGGTAAATTAACTGCGCACTGCACGAATCACATTCATGGACTTCGTCTGGTCTCACAGAGCAGGCATTTATAGTGATCCGTAAGAATCTGGACAATGCATCGACTCAAATATATTCTTGTGGCCGACGACTCGAGGGGATGCATCCAATCGCGTGAATAAGCACCCGCGTTTTTTTGTTTTTAATGTGTCGTAAACGTATTCCCCTGCGCCAAAAATCACCTGGAATAAATATGCCCAATCTCAACGGACCTCGGAAATTACGGAGGGTTCACACCCTGGTTAGTGGCGGAAGAGCATGGGGCTGCGAGAAAATGGCAGGAAAGCAATGGGCTCAGACCACGCAAAGATTGAATGTATGTGGTGTGTCTGGACTGAATCTATCACTGGAGCTATGAGTGCCATCTCCTCGCTTGAATGGCCTTTCTAGAGGCACTCTGGATTCCTCCCAACAAGCTAAACACCCTCATCAATCCCACTGAACCAACTTAAAATAAACATTCTTGAGAGGGCTTACCTTATTAAATTACCATGATTATATGCTGTTACATTTTTGTGAATGAAGCATAAAGACTGTACGAATCGGACACACAAAAAGAAAAACAATACAAACGGGAATGATCAGAACGAGATTGAAACATGATCAAAATGCTGAATCATGGCAAACCATTAAATGGCTGGAGGGTCCGCACCATGACGCCAATACTCACTCAACGTCTGTGGCTCCGAGTCTCGAAATTCAGAACCCTTAGAATCCCAAATTCAGGAGTGTCCTTTTGACAGCAACTCTGTCTTAGACGATCTATCAAATAACCCAATAAACTCATCCACTGGAGAAATACTCAGCAATCTTACACCAAAAAGTTAAAAGCCTAAAGAAACCTCGCTGAATGCAAAAAAAAAAACAGGGCTTTGAATTAATCAGAACATGTAAATAGAAACTGATATCCACATTCATTATTGTCATCACACTTTAAGCATCTTACCACGACGCTGTGTTTTAAGGAAGATTATAAAGAAGGAGTCGTGCGGACGGCGGTACTGACGCGGGAAATGACACGGAGCACAAATCCAGTCTCGATTTTTGCAAATTCAAAATAAGTCCCCGCTATGCGTGAGCAACTGAGTTTACTGTGAAGGCAACATACGTGCACGTTAAATGCCCTTTGTGCGAGTGCGGCACCAAAAAAAGTTCGCGGACAGCTCGCGTAACCATGCAAAGAGCACGCAACGCATATATATACACACACACACGCGGCATGGTGTAACGCAACCGTGTGGTTCCCAAAGTGCCGAATGGCTCACAGGGCTATACCAAATAAATGAAACTGAAAACTCTCGTACTACCACTGTGACAACGCTAGGCATGTACGTACTATTAATGCATCACGGTCTGGACAAAGATAGGTTACCCTCTGGTGGCCGCGTTTGCACTGTGCAGTCATGTTGATCTCCGACACAGGATCATATAACACGCAAAGAAGTTTCCCATAAATCAGCACCTCTTGACCTAAAAGTGTCACAAACTTTCACTCACATGTGAAAGAGAAAAAAAACACGGAATTGGCAATTCACGTCACTCGGGGTTTGGCGAGTGACACGAATGCGAAATGGGCTCTGCTGCTCTCCCGCCACGAAACAGCGCCTGGTGGTGTGCAAGAGGCACCGGGCCTCTCCACATTTGAAGCCTTCGTTAACAAATTAAAAAAGAGCAGTTGGTACAGCTCATGGTCGAGCAAAACAAACTTTCAACCGCACCTATCAAAGTTACTTTCCTTTTAGTCTTGGTCGGCGAGTCGACGGGAATTCTCAACGAACGGTGACAATGCTCAGCCTAAATCACCACTGTCCCTTTTTGTGCAGGACCGGCGCGTAAACTACACAGGCCCCCCACCCCAACAGGTTCACTCGCCACGACGTTCGTGCAACGGGAAGCAGTTAAGTGATGGTTGACCAACCGCTCGCTAACAGTACGTACGGGACGAAACTCCTTCATGTGGTTCGACTATAAATGAAATGAAGAAATGTTTAAGTCCATCGGCCTGTTGGCTTCCAGAAGAACATTAATTCATCAAGCGGACATTGATAAAGGAAGGAAACCCTGGACTGGTTTTAAAATGCGTCTGATCAGCAGTCAGGCGTGTTAAATATTCTTCTGGCTTACCAGATCTTATTGGCGAGAGCACTCGATCCCAACTGCGGGGCTCAAGCGGGAGGGAAGGGGAGAGAGGGGTGTGAGTGCTACTCTGCTCGAGTTAGCAAATATGTGTCATAGGCTCGGAAATGAAATAAAAATCGCAGGAGAGGAATCCTTTCAGATGACAGCGTCCGGACACTGCCAGACGATGGTGTCATTGTTAAAGTTCTCGTTCGTCACATTCTTCCCACCCCAACGACAAAGATCCCCCATATAGCCTTAACAGACGGCAGGGGCAAGTGCTGTTAGCGAGCACCTATGAAGGCCAGAACGGTACACGAGGGGGTGGGTGGCCAGCACCACGCCCGGCCGCCTTTGTCTCCCTAGTGGTGATGTATACACACCACGCCAGGTACTCATTTGAGGCTGAGTCGACCTAGGGGAGGCCCAGAAACGATTCAGATACTCGTCACCGGTGTTGGCCGCGAGCGGGAATCAAACTCGGGTCGCCAGTTTTCGTAGTGCAGCGCACTAACCGCTGCACCACCACTCCCCACCCCACACACACACAACGACCACCCCCCCCCACCATTACCTTTTTATACAAATTTGCCTTGTGAAACGCAGGATTCTATTCTATTTACTACAAGCAAATCTTAAATACTATTTATATCCATAAACAGCAATATGCAGCGATAATGGACCATTGTTTATAACGTTCACTGCAGCGTTCCATGGGTATTCACCAAATAGATGGACTCGCTAACTACGTGAACTTCCATGCGGTGGCTTACGGTGCGCCGCTCTGGACAAAGGTTATTCAATGAACTGAAGGGAACTAACTTGAGAGCCACACAATGTCACGGTTGAGCGCGACGTTCCTGTACAGTACCCATCGTCAATGAGTGCTGGCGTCTAAAAACCGCACTCTGCTCACAATGATGCTGCCGTGGAAGAATCTGCACGCCATCATCATCATTATCATTTACAGGAAGCACGAGTAAGTGTAGTTTGCTCTATGTTAAACTGCACATTTACTCTACATGTCATGGACCTCATCTTTTTTTCAGGTTTACTTTTACGTATAATGTATAGTACTGTAAACTACACGACTTTTTTTTTCCCCCATTCTATACATTTCCTGTTCAAGCTATATTTAACGCTATCGAGAATATTAATCACAGTTTCATGTGTTGGGTTGATGTCGGGTAACACAAACGTATTGGCGGTACACCAGCAGTGCAGAGGCAATTATAAAAACAAAACAAAATTCGCAATAATTTACTTTCCCGCGAAAATCTTGCGGGGAAGGGGGGGGTGGTGATGGTGCGTCAAAAAAAATCAGTTCTCGTGATGCCGAAGCAGTCGGAAGACGAACGCCAGTTAAAATTTTGATTCTTAGACTGTTTGTTGAGGGCCGGTGTGCCACGCTGCACCGAGTGTGCCGCCAATACGTCCATTTGGATTTGAGTTTGCGGATCGCGGATTTGAGGATAGCGGCTATTTTTTTAAGAAAGTAACCACCGCCGAGGTGGGCCGAGGGTTGTGGTGGATTGTAATAAATATTGTAATAAATATTGTAATAAATATTCACCTGGAGCAGCAGAGCCCGTCACCGTGATTGAGAGAGACAGACACATATGGAATCTAACGGGGCTCAAATAACACCGCTTGGATAAAGCTGCATTTCCCTCAGAAATGTAATGGTGCATCAGCTCAATGAATTAGGCAGATTTTATTTTTGCAATTGCGTCATGGTGAGCGCATCAAACCATGCACACGAGAACTATCTCCTTTTGCATATGTTGTATGTAATGGGGGTTCATCACATCACCCCTGCAGTCACTAGAGGCAGTACATTCAAAAGGACAGGGCAAACAAAACAATGTGACCAGTGAATTGAACTGACCCTAAATCATGGCAATTTGTATAATAAAATGGTTACACATTTGCCCAATTCCTTGAAGTGCCACCAAATTCCTTGAAGTGCCACATTCTTTATGGCCTTTAATTGGTTTGCCCAGTGTCACATGTAACTATCGTAAACACAAACGTTAAAAACACATCACGACAAGGAGAAGCCAAACATCAATCTTGGTGCAATATCAGCTCCGGTGAATTCCACCATTGCTCTCCGCTTCATGCAGC